AAAAATTACGTTTGAAGGTAATATGAACTCATTTATTTAAATAATAAATAATATAATAAATGGCAGGTTTCAAGTTGCTGAAGAATCTCGTTGATTTTTTAAAATTTTGTTGGTATCAGTGCCACATATTTTCTTCCATATAAAAACGAACTTCTTTGTATAGAGAAAAATACGTGACACTGTTTATTATACTAAAATTTAAAGGACTATAAAATTGCATACCAAACATTTTTCTCAAAATTCTGATTCCGAAGTTTGAAATTTTGGTGAAACTGTGAGGAATTTTATTAATTGTTGCATAAAGTTTGAAATTGGGATTGACATGGTTTTCGTTAGACGATAAGCTGGGCTTTTATAAAAAATTAGTAAGCTTTAAAGAGAAAAAGAAAAATATGTCGCGACACTATTAAATGTTCATTAATTTACCTAAATTCTTGTTTATTTACTTACAAAACTTTAACACTTTTACTTTTATTATTTTATGTGGAGATTTTTTTGTACAAAAAGTTGCATGACTTAGGCTCTAGTTTTCTGTAAAAGTTATTACATATACAGCACGATTCTGAACAGAACTCCCTGGGAATTATCTCTCTTTTCTCTTTCCTCCTATCATGAATAAAAATTCCCTGAGGATTTTTTCTATTTTCCTTTTCCTCCTATTCTAAACGAACTTCGAAAAAGGGAAAATCTATTTCGGGAAAAAAGTAGGTATCAAGAATGTCAAAAAAGAGAAAATTGGCTTGGGTATTTCGGGAGAAGTTCCGCCAAAGATTTAAAAGGGAGCTTGTATAAAAAATGTAAGTAATTCTCCTTGGAATTTAAAATTGCTTGATTTAAATGATTTGTTTGATATTTTTCAGGTCGAAAACAACGAATAAAAGACAGCAAAGCATTTTGATAAACCTAATGGAAGCAAGCCCCGATATTGCGCGCGGGTTCCACAGAGGCAACAAAGAGGAGGTTGCCCGTTTCTGGCGGAACGCAGAAATGGAGTTGAACTCTGTAGGCCCACCGATGAAAAACATTACTGAGTGGAAAAAGGTTTGACAAAGCGATAAAACAAGGATTTCTGTCTTACATTGTATTAAACATTTTTAGGTTTGGACAGACGTAAAAAAGTATGTGCGTCACAAGGCAGCCGAAAATTTGAAACACTCGAGAGGCACTGGAGGGTGTCCGAATGTGCAAAAACCATTTTCCCCCATCGAAGAGGCAATATATAACCTCATTGGCATGAAAGAGTCCGTTGAGGGAGTGCCGGCGAAAACTTTAGGATTGCCGAGTTCTGATGTGGTTCAAGTAAATGAGGTGCCAGAAGTGCCTACAGAAGGGGGTGAATTATGTTCCGAGGACTTGGATGTAATTTGGGCTGAGAAACTGGTCACTGGTTTTGATTATGCATTACCAGCAGTTCCAAAAAGAGCTAGTAATCGGACTGTAAAGAAGGTGGTGGCGAAAAATGCTACAGAAGTCGTTGAAGCAGAACTGGCAATTCAACGAGACATGTTGGAAAAGGTAACAAATATAGTTACTCCCATGACAGAGCGCAATGAGGCAGATAAAAAGCATTTCGAGGCGATGGAAGCTCTAAAGAGAGAGGAAATCGATGAAATGCATCGACATAATGATCTTTTAGAAGAGTTATTAAGGCTAAATATTTAAGTCAAATTTTTAAAGATAGGCCAAGAATGTGTTTAGAAATGTACTTAAATATTCTTTTTTTTTGTAATAAGTCATAAAAGATTTTGAACACAGAGTATGTATGCTGATGTAGATTTTTATACCAATTCTGCCAGATTTCAAAATTTCCTCACACATCCAAGTTTTGGTGACGCAACTTCCATTAAAATAGGGATTTTTCTGAACCAATTTGAGCGAGTTGTGTCACCAGTACTTGAGTATGTGGGGAAATTTTCAACCCTGGCAGAATTGGTGTAAAAATATACAGTGTTCAAAATCTATTATGACTTATTACAAGAAAAATAATATTTAAGTACATTTCTAAATACATGTTTTGTTATCAATATCGGTATATATCGTCGCTGCGCAAAAAAAAACAGTTATGTGATTTTTAGGACAGCAAAAACAGATTTTTTCAGAGTACTTCTAGTTCTGAGCGCCCAATTCTATTTCGTATCACTTCTAAAGCAAAGGAGATATAAAAAACGGAAAATGCGGAAATGTAGGCAATAGATAGTTAATAAAACATGCAATAAAAAATTTTAGAAAAACTCACACAACTATTTTTGTTGGCGCAGCAACGATATGTACATAAGTCAGTGAATTGGGTTTTCTTTTTGGTTTATTAGCAAAAATAATATATTTTGTAGTGAATTGTTTATTTTTGTTTTGTGATAGAAACATGAGCTTGTTTTTTATTTTTATCCTGACAGGATATGTTATTGTCCTTTCTGTTTTAGTATTTAGTGATAAGATTGTGGATCCTTTTTATTTTTTTTTAACCTTAAAGGATAGCTATTGCATTATAGAAGACTGTATAACCTCAATTGAGCTGTTAATTTATAACAAATACAAGTTTTTACAAATGAAAGTTCGTCACTATTTATAGACGAAACACTACTAATAACTTTTTTTGGGGGAAACTCTGAAAATCTTAAAGTTGCCTACAAAAATTTTCAAATAGAACTTCATACATAGTACAGTTAAGGTTATACCTTAGGGATACTTTATTTCAACAATTTTGGACCTTAATCTACTACGTAAAACTATGGGTTTAATATGTACATACATACAAATTCAGATAGAGTACAGTTAGTTTTGTTGATAAATACTGAAGTTATAGAAAAAAA